AGGGGGAGGGAGCAGGACCAGTTCAAATGTCACTCGCCACTAATGTTGGACGTGGCCGGGAATCGATCCCACGTCTCCGATTTGAAACCATTGCACCACCACTCTCAATTTGTACATTAGGGACGGTGATGATTATTGTTTGTTACTCTACCCAGAAGCACTTTGGCACAGAGCCACGGTCGCATGAAGGTTGTCAAGTCAGATTCCAGTGGGGAGTTATCGTTCAGCCCCATCGTGTCCTCTGCGGTCATTAAAATACATCACTTACGTAGAAAGTTAACTTTGATTGTCGAATTAAAACACCGAATCTTGACGGCAGGGATGCGCTAGTTTCCACCGCTGGCACCATCAACGGAGATGAGCAATCCGCAAAGCGTTTTGTGATCACGGGATGAGATTTGCCTGCCTGTACGCGCACGCTAGCAACACGTGCTCGTCTCTCATCCAGCGAAGCCTCGGTGAGGCTTCAGCACTCCCCATTCGAGAGGGGTCCTGCAACCGGCATGTTTGGCAAACTAACGCGTCTTCTCAGACACCGTCCACGTTTACACCGCTCACGTCTTCGCGAGAGAGATATATATTTATTTTAAAATTAATCTAAACTAGCTCGCGGGTTTCTCATTTCTTTGTTGTTGCTTCGTGCGTAAAAGAGAGAGGGGTGGGTGGGTTGTGGTGGTGGTGGTGGTTGGGTGGGGGAATGTCTTTCATGTCCTTCTCCGCGCTCCGTCGCTCCGCTCCACTGGAATTCGCCCGAGTGGCAATGACGGCCGAGTCGGGACATGCAGCGTCGTCTCGGGGGCAGGGAACGAACGAACAGGGGGGTGGGGGGGGTTGGCCGATACGACGCGGCGGTGAGAAATGTGCGTGACTGACACCGCGCGCTCAGTCGTTATTGCATTTGAAATGGCCACGAGCGCATACCTGGTGTCGACGATTGCGTGATGTTACATTTTATGAGCCTCCGTGTATCACTTTACAGAAAATATGCTTTTACATGGGCAACACAATAATCTCGCAATTGAAGGCTGCGTGCCGTGCGCTTTCATGACCCTGTTATGAAAGTTGATTACCACTTATTCCGAAACGCTACAGTGAGCGCGCTGCTCTACGAACCAGGCCAACCCTAAGTTCGATTCCCAACCACGGCTAACATCAGTGGCGAGCGAAATCTGAACGGGGAACGGAATCACAGGCACGGATTATTCTGAGTCTCGACTGAATGTCGTCACCCAATTGCTCAAATGAGCAGCACACGTCATGAGACCAGCTGAGACAAAACTGGACCACTGTGAAAAAAGAGCTTCGTAGCGCGTCGGATTCCTCCAGGATAAATATTGATTCTCAGAACTCCGGAGTGCAGAGCCAAGAGAGAAGGGAAGAGAAGCAGAGAGAGAGAGAGAGACCGCGGGAGAGATGGCAGCAGCAAGCGAGACGACATCACGGAGTTGAGAGGTCACGCTAGGACAGGAGCAGCTAGGGAGAGTACGACTACCGCTTTTTATTGTACCAGGTAAGGCCCACTGAGCTGTATAGCCCTTTTTCAGAAGCGACCTGGCCGCAAATGATCGCTCAACGACATTTATAGCAGCCAAATACTCTAAAACCCACGTTTTTATTTTATTTTGGAAGGAAAAACCGGTGGACCCGGATAACAATCCACGCGACCACGGGGAGAACACGCAAACTCAAAGTATACAGGCGTCAGGGTTGGGATCGAACCCACGACCTCCTGTATACCAGACGAGGTAGTTAACATCTCCGAGCCACCTTGTCCCACAAAGGTGACCGGCTCACGACACGCAGGTGTTTGGAACCACAGAAGCGGCAGCTCTCAGGCTTTTCGACTTCAGCAATGTCCCCATCGTTGTTTTAGAATAAACGTTGGAGCTGGGCTACTGCAACTGTAATTATTGTCCTTGTTTAACAAAAAATACCTTTGACCGCTCCTCACGTGTATGGACCAGGTGCCAAGCACACTCTGAGCGCGTCAATATTTATGAGTTCAGTTGGCCCGGGCCAATCATTGCACTCCGTCTACTCACGTGCACTTGCTCGCCAGGTGCTCATCATCATCCTCAGCCATGGTCAGTCCACTGCTGGATGAACGCACCCCACGAGGCAGCACGCCGGACTTGCAATCCAGAGGCGGCGGGCTCAATTCTATCTCCCGGCGCGGCAGTTGAAACCACGGGGCACATTTCTTGAATTCCACCCCGCGTGTGTACCGCGCAGTGTGTCAATGGGTGGACAAATGAGTCGTGGGTATTGGGTGACCCGGGTCAGCCTTGCAAGCGAGACTCGGCTGGCTTATTGACATCTCACCCCGTTGGACAACATTCACTTGAACTCGAGGGGAAGGTAGCCATGTGGTTGGCTACGCTCACACCTTGCAGGTAGTCTGGCTAGCTTGGAGGAGTAGGCCAAAACACCTGGGGAGGGGGGTGGGCACTCCAGAGCTCTCACTCGTGATGGCCCATCTGCCAGCAGTGGTGTGAGCGAGCAATTGCGGGGCTGCCCCTTCACATTTTTATTTCCGTTTGAGGTTTCAGGAATGAGACACGAGCTGCGTGTGGTGTGTGTGTGTATGGGTGTGTGTGTGTATGGGTGTGTGTGTGTGTATGGGTGTGTGTGTGTGTGTATGGGTGTGTGTGTGTATGGGTGTGTGTGTGTATGGGTGTGTGTGTGTATGGGTGTGTGTGTGTGTATGGGTGTGTGTGTATGGGTGTGTGTGTGTGTGTATGGGTGTGTGTGTGTGTGTATGGGTGTGTGTGTGTGTATGGGTGTGTGTGTGTGTATGATTGTGTGTGTGTGACACGCACTCTGTGTCAGCAGCCCGGGTTACTCGTTAACCGCGGCAGGTTACTCATTAACCCGGACAGGTTCAATATGGGCCAAGGGAAAGCGACTGTCGGACAAATAAACTTGCAGCAGGCACGTGACGAGGGCCGTCACACTCTCGCTCGTCATCATACTACACTGGACGTTTTCCCTCGCTTTATACGGGTTCGGTTCGTGCGATGTCGCGTATTTGCGGCGAAACCCATTTCTGCCCAAATGTTCGCTATACCGTATCGTGCTATAGGAAGCCACTCAAATGCGGGAAACATTTAATGTGGACAAAGTTTGACTGGCTGGCTGGCTGGTTGGCTGTCTGTAGGGAGGTAAGGGGTTGGATCCATGGCTCAACAACGATCACCCGCGTGGCTGTGGATGATATAACAATGGAATAATGAAACAGGCAAATACATCTCCTCCTGCCCTTGCCTCTCCCTCCACATCAAAATTCAAGCGTTTTGTCAGTCTGGTTAACACATCCCATAAGCCACATTGCACGGCATTCTTGGGGTAATTTGTGTTACATTTTGTTTCGGCAGCGCCCTGTGGAATTCCCACCACCGCTTGGCTCAGCGAGGGCCGTGCATCGACCCTCCCTCGTGGTTCATCACGACCACCGCACTCACGACTCCACCACTCCCCTCCCTGTAGCTCACAACAGTGGCGGGCGAGGGGGGAGCGGCTGCTGCTGCTGCCTCTGCTGTCTAATTCCAGTAGCCTGCCAGTGGCAGCCGCACACACACACACACCGCGCACACCGCGCACACAACTGGAAATTCAAGTTTCTCGCAGCCGCAGTCACGGCGGTGCTCGCTCGGGCCATCACCGGGCGATACGCTGCGGGTTGTACCATCGGCACAATAACCGCAGGTGGCCCCCTGTGACTCCCTCCCCCTCCAACACACAACTCGGGATCGATGTCTGTGTCCTGGATCAACAGCGGCCACCCCCCCCCCCCAACTGCTCGGTTTGCAAATATCGATCGCAGTGAAATTCCATTTGTGTCCGGCCGCCCTCTGCCTGGCTCGCCCTGGCCCCGAGTGCGTGGCGATTCACGTTCCTCCTCCTCCTCCACCTCCACCCCACTCACCCTCCTCCCCAACCCAGCTCCGTGGACCCGGTTACAGCCGTGCGCTGGCTGCGTGGAGTGTCGCTGGCTGCGGCTGTAAGGTGAGAGCAGTGAGGCCAACTCCCCCCCCCCCCCAAGTCGCCAGCCTACAGCCGCCTGCGTCCAGATCGAACAGGCGTGGTGGGTACAGTTTGGGGTGCGGCAGGGTTTGACTGTGGCGGTGTGGTTAGTGATGGTGGGTTTGGTGGCGGTGGTTGTGATGGTCCTTTAAGAGGAATGACGACGGAATGCGGCTTTGCCGTCTTCAAGGGACAGGCGTGCCGCTGGCATTCGCACACTCGTGGTGACACTTGTGGGGTCTGTGTGTGTGGGGGGGGCTTCTGGCTAGAGGAGGAGCTACCACCACCACCACCTCCTCCACAGGTGGACTGCATTGTCGGAACGAGGGGCGGGGGCGCGACGGCTCGCTGCTGTCCATGCGGCACGGGGCTGCGAGTTCACTCCGGCGGTGAGTGGGGAGTGGTCGCAAAGTGCCACTCGGGGCCCGTCCACTCAAACGAAACTTGGTGAGAGCAAAGAGCGAACAACTAAAACAAGCAGCGGCGATGTGAAGTGAGACTGGCTGCGGATGAGTGAGTAGCCCGTGGAGCGAGCGAGCGAGGACGAGGGGCTGGGGTGGATGTCTCTGGCCAGCCGAGCTCGGTTCTGCGTCCACTGCGACAGGTCCAGCCTGTGACAGCGTCCCGTCGGACAGGGTCGCTCGGCGGATTTCTTGTAAGGCTCTGCGAGCAATGCGGAGCAGCAGGGTATGGTAGTAAGTGTTGGGGTTGAGAGGCGAGTGCCGCGGGTCGGTTGTTTGCTCGCCGTGCGCTGTGGAGGAGTTCCCCGACGTTGGGGACTTTTGGCTCGTCTGCGGAGATGGGCATCACCAACAGGTGTGTGTGTGTGTCTGTGTGTGTGTCTGTGTGTTCTCACCAACAGGTGTGTGTGTGTCTGTGTGTTCTCGTGTGTGTCTGTGTGTTCTCCCGTGTGTGTGTCTGTGTGTTCTCCCGTGTGTCTGTGTGTGTGTTCTCACCAACAGGTGTGCGTGTCTGTGTGTCTGTGTGTGTCTGTGTGTCTGTGTGTGTCTGTGTGTCTGTGTGTGTCTGTGTGTTCTCCCGTGTGTTTGTGTGTTCTCCAGTGTGTGTGTGTCTGTGTGTTCTCACCAACAGGTCTGTGTGTCTGTGTGTTCTCTCGTGTGTCTGTGTGTTCTCGTGTGTCTGTGTGTTCTCGTGTGTGTGTCTGTGTGTGTGTCTGTGTGTTCTCCCGTGTGTGTGCCTGTGTGTGTGTCTGTGTGTTTTACCGTGTGTGTGTGTCTGTGTTCTCCTGTGTGTGTGTTCTCCCGTGTGTGTGTGTCCGTGTGTTCCCTCGTGTGCCGTGCCGGCCTTCATGCTACTTTGCTCACAGAACTTGCCCCAACAGTCTGTTCAGGCTGTACGCGGGATCTTTGTCTTTATCTGCGTTAGTCTGACTGTATCCTTGCCATTCTCTCTGCGTGTCTGTGTGGGGAGCGGTCGTGTAGTGGTTAGCGCGCTGCGCCGTGAACCGGGAGAGCCGGTTCTGGGCCTCCCCCTAGGTCGACTCGGCCTCAAATTAGTACCCGGTGCTGTGTGTAAAACGTCAGCGCCGGGGAGACAAAGGCAGCCGAGCGTGGTGTAAGTTTATTTAACTCATTTCGCACCGAATGTAGCCACCCACCCACCACCCCCTCGTGTGCCATGCCGGCCTTCATAGGTGCTGCTGCTTCTGCTGCTGCTGCTTACTCGCTAACAGCACTTGCCCCGACAGTCTGTGAAAGGGGCCTACACCGGGGATCTGTGCATGTCGCGTGAACTCAGAACGCACGTGTCGCTTCCCTGCGAAAGCGACACCTCTGTTTGTTCGGCGGCTGCTGCTGCTACTGCTGCCCGGCTCCGCCACGTGGCGCGTCCGGGTTGCCTGGCGCCGGGTAACCCAATTCAGTTGTTGAAGGAACATTTTGGGTTGTTGTTGTTGTGTCCGCATGGTGTCCCGACGTTTCGGCGCCGAGGCGCGCTGCGTCGGACACTCCACGCGCGGTCGCCGTTCACCTCAAGGGCAGCCGTACGCAGAGGGAGTGCCCCCGACTGTCTCGTCTGCGTGCGTGCGGTGCAAAAGCGACTTTCTGTGTTGGGAATACGTTGAGGTCCGTTTACGCGTGAACTCGGTTTACGCGTGTGCGCGGTTTACGCGTGAGCTCGGTTTTCGCGTGAACTCGGTGAACGTGTGAGCGTGCGATTTACGCGTGAACTGGGTTTACGCGTGAACTGGGTTTACGCGTGAACTGGGTTTACGCGTGAACTCGGTTTTCGCGTGAACTCGGTGAACTCGGTGAACGCGTGAACGCGCGGTTTACGCGTGAAGCACAAAGTGCCGGTTCGGCCTCTCCACTCGCGTTCACCGCCCTACAGTGCACAACTGTTAATCCGCCCCCCCCCCCCGTGTCCCTCCAGCTCCGCGTGTCCGTGTGCCCGCCACGTCGCCGGTTGACTTGCGGATTAGCGCGTCCACGCGCGCTGCGAGCTTTCGGACACACGGGGGGCGGGTTGGTGCCGTGCCCTTGCCGAGGGTACAGTAATCCCACCGTGCACGCGGGGACGCAAACAACATGCGGGCACGCCAAAGTCCCGGGGTGGGATGTGTGTAGGCAACGTGTTCCGCACGCGGCTGGGTTGGGACCGCGCGAGCCGATTGATCATCGTCCGCTGTGCCAACGCCGCGGGACCCCGTGGCGACCGCGGCGGCCTCGCTGGAGGGTCTGGCCCCACCGATGGCCACGGCTTCATTGACTCGGCTGTTGGCGAGCGAGTTTGCCTGCCGGCACGCTCTCTCTCTCTCTCGCCCGCTCTCCCTGGTTGTTGTTGGCAGAGGTCTCGGGGTGTGAATGACGACGCCTCGGAGGGGGAGAGAGACCTCGGCCACGTCGTCTTCTCCCCGGCTACCGGCAAATATTTCGCGTGCGCCCGACCGTGCGACCCGGCGGAGTCGTCTGGCTGGCGAGAGAGTTGCCGGCAGCGGCGTGCCGGCAACGCGAATCGTTCAGAGCGCAGAGTCGTTGGTTCGGGGGGGGGGGGGGGCGCAACGTTCGTTTCGCGTAAATTATTTTGACCCGCTAGTGATTTGTGTCCGCGCAGTCATTTCGATTTTCCTTCTCGTAACGTCGGTTGTTTTTTTTGTTGCTCCGATTTCTATTTGCTTCATCGCCGCCATGCATTGTATGTTTTATGTTGTTGCCTTTGCACGTTTTGCGCCGCCCAGGTCACTCGTGCGTATGAGATGCCTAGTTCTGGTCTCTTGGCTTTCTCCCCTGGTTCAACAAAAGTCACTTAAACTTCGAGCGACGTCCCCGGGCAGTGGCCCTTGTGCCGGGAAAACTTCTTCAACGGTTTTGTTTTGCTTACAGGTTCTGTTGAAATCTTATTGGATGTCGTGCGCGGTTTAGTAATATGCATCGTGTGCGTGTGGTGTGTGTGTGTGTTTCTTACAGACTTCCTTCGCTCTGAATCCCAGCAAGGCAACGTGGTGCTTATATTTACGACGCGGCCTTTCAGCTCGCACACAAAGCAATACAATTTATTGACCACCAATTGAGAGGTGGGATTGCATTCCCCCTCCGAACATTCCGCACCAGTGCTCGACGCTGAATTACAACGCCAACCCCCAAAGGGACCAGGAACTGAGAGGGAGCAAGCGTGGCAGCGAGAGGCATAAGCAAACCGAGATTAAGCATAGGGCCCCAAGCAGCTCAAGGGGGTGAGGGCAGGGGGGCGGGCAATCCAGGCTTCGCTGGAATTAAAATCCTAATAAACAACACGAGATAGTTAACGTTACACGCCAATTCATCTCTGCCCCTCTAGTTGTTGTTGTGTGCGTCTCTCATCTCGCTGTGTCTCTGTCTCTCTCTGTACCTCGCCTGGCATCTCAGTCTCTTCTCAAAATTTCGCTCCACCTGTTTCTCGCCTTCACATTTCCTTGACTCGCCACACCCCTGCCTCTCGTCGGCGCACGACCGCTTCCCACCGGGGCCTCCCAAATGGGCCCGCAGCGGCATTGGGCACCGACGTAGGCCTAGCTCGCCCGCAAAAAGCCTTCCTGGGGCCACGGACTCCCGGCAGTACTCGGCGAGCCGCGACGAATCGACGCCGGCAATGGCGGACGGGGGCGGCCGTTGCCGCATCTGCAGCTTGGAGCTGCGCGGGAGCCAGCGCCGCTGGATTTTCGGCGGGGAGAGCGCGACGGGCCGTCCAGGCCTCCACGTCATCCTCTCGCACCTCCTGAGCCAGGAGCTGGCGCGCGGAGATGGCCGCGGGGAGTTTGCGTGCGGGAAGTGCGCCTTCTCCCTCGAGCGCGTCTACAGGTGCGCTGCTGCTGTTGCTGCTGCCACCACCACCGCTGCCCTCCGGCCGGGTTTATCGGCGTTATTCTCCCGCGCGGGTTTCTGTGGTCGTACTGCTGCCGCCGCTGCCGCTGCACAGCTCTATTTTGGGTCGTACCGACGTTTCGCACCACACTCCGGGCTGGGAGCTGCCTCGGAATTGAATGGGCTCGTCCGGCGCGCGTGTGCGGCGAAAACGCCGGAAGTCGTGCCGACGCCGCGCAGTACGACCCGTGACCCACGGGAGAGCTGCAGACGGTTCTCTGCTCATGTGGAGCTTAGTGAGCGAGCGAGCCAGCCGGTGACGACTTCAAGAGTAGCCTCATGGTGGAGATGTGACACGTGGCCCGCGAATGCTTGAAGCGGGCAGTGACGTTACTACGTGGTGCGCAGTTTGATATATAGATTTACTAAGACATTTCATAGACTTCTGCAGAGACCCGTAGACTTGCAAGGACATTTCATAGACTAGCATAGAGACCGATAGACTCACAGGGACATGTGATAGACTTGCATAGAGACACATAGACTTACAAAAACATGTCATAGACTTGCATAGAGACACATAAACTTACAAAGACATGTCACAGACTTGCATAGACATCCATAGACTCACAAGGACATAACATAGACTCGCATAGAGACCATAGACTCACAAGGACATGTCATCGACTTCCAAAGAGACTCATCTACTCACCCGGAGCCCCATAGCCTTAAGCGGTCTGCGCAGGGCGGTGGGCATTTGCGTGTGGCCCATGCCTTGAGCTTGGTGACCGCCGGTGCACTCTGGGGATGCCGCGCGGAGGTGGTGAGCGGCGAGCGGGGAGTGAGGCTGCCGTGGTGGCGGCGACGGCGTCCACCGAAACCCTCGGGGCTCTGCCGGTTGCGCATCTCCCGTCCCGGGCATGGCGGTGGCTGAGACGCATGCCGCTTCTAAACGTGGGGTCGGTGCATCGCGTAGTGCTGGGATCATTGCGCGTGTGCGCACAAGGACAATTCGGCCTCAAATGAGTACCTGGTGCGGTGTGTAGTACACATCGTCACTGGGGAGACAAAGGTGGCCAGGCGTGGTGCTCGCCACCCACCCACCACCTCGTGTTCTGTGCCGGCCTTCATAGGTGCAGCTCGCTAACAGCACTTGCCCCAACAGTCTGTTAAGGTTACACGGGAGACGGGGGGGTGGGAATTTTCGTGTTTGGCATCCACCTAATCAAGAGTTTGGCTTGAGTAGCCGGTACGTGGATTGCCACCTCCAAGGGTACAAAACAAAAACCCCGAAAGCAGAGGAGGGAAGGCCGACGAGCGAGCGTCGTTGTCCTGAGTGTTGCGTTGTTCATCATTATCAGCACCAGCCATGATCAATCCACTGCTGGATGAGGGCCTCCCACAGGTGTATTATTAACATTATGATGCGACTGACAAAAAACATACTTTTAATGTACGGGGGAAGATTTGTAGATTTACCAGGACAGTAGCGGCTGCCTCCTCAACCAGATGGACAAACCTGGGGGAAAAACCCAGGACCGTAGGCAGTACAGCAAAGTGGGTTTCTGTCCTCCCCCTGTTCTGCGTGGGTTTCCTCCTGGGTTCCTCCCATAGCTGAAAACCCACAGACGACAGTGTTACTGGCATTGGCCACATATCCCAATGCTATGAAAACATTTTCCGTGCAAACTATTCCATCGGGATCGCACGTAGCGGCAGCGGCAGCAGCAGCATGATCCCTCCCCTCCCACCCGCCACTGTGGAAAAACTCGGCAGGACCCCCCCCAGAACATCAGTTGTTGAGGCTCGGTGAGACTCTCCGGGCTAAACGGGGGTTCACGTCTGTTTTCGTTCAACCCCGGCGAGAACTCGAGAGGGCATGACGGGCGTCTCGTTGGCTGTAGCGGGGACGTGGACTGCCAACGACAGAAGTTGAGTACGTCAATGAAAGCGAATAGAAATCTGCGCGAAAATAAAACTGCGTCGGAGGGGAAAAAAAATATGGAAAGTATTGCGCGAGGCGGCTGGTGATGGATTATGTTTCGCCTGATCGCAGCATGTTTGTGTGTACGTTGGATTTCGTTTGCACCGTGTACGTAGCGTCGTTATTGGAGACGCCGCTAATGACGACACGTGGTGCGCGCACACCGCAGGTACGACGGCGTGATGAACCGCGTGAAGGCGCTGTCTATCGAGCGCATGCAGAAGCTGGCGACGGAGCGCGACAAGCTGGCGCAGTGCGTGCTCTTCCAGTACGGCCGCTCGAACCCGGGCCAGGGCCGGCCCGGCGGGGCCCGGCAGCGCTCGCTGGACGCGAGCCGCGTCGCGTACAACGAGCTACTGCAGGACGACGCCGCCTTCTCCGAGTACGAGAGCTGGTCCGAGCGCGGCGGCGGCGGCGACGGCGGCGGCAGCTCCTGCTCCTACTCCTTCGCCTCGACGCCGCTCAAGAGCGCGCCGGGAGGCCGCGGGCCGTCCCGCCACGGCCACGGCCCCGCTTCGGGCCGCTCCACGCCCAGCAGCTGCGGCGCCGACGCCATGCGCCGGTGCGTCAGCGTGGACTCGCTGCGCGTGCCGGACGCGCGCTACGAGTCCGTGTGCAAGGTCCCGCGCAAGGTGGCGGCCGGCATGGGCGCCCGGTCGCCCTGGTCCGTGTCGCGCTCCGTCAGCGTCGGGGGCGGCAGCGTCGGCACCTCCTCCGCGGCGAGACGGAGCCGCGGCGCGGGCCCGGGCTCCCTCGGCAGGCGGGGGTGGGGGGCGGTCGGTTCCATCGGCTCGTCCGTGTCCCTGGGGTCCCTGGCGTCCTTCGGCGCCGTGCCCGCGCTGTCCATCGCCGAGGAGGAGGAGGATGGCGACTGCGAGGACGCGGTGGACAGCGTGAGCGTCTTCTCGGCCCGCTCGCCCGTGTCGCCTCCGCCGCCGCCTTCGCCGGCGCTCGCCCGCTCCCTGCAGCTGGTGCGCAGCATCGGCGTCCGCGGCCTCCGCGCCCCCAAGGGCAGCGGGATCCCCACGCCGTCGCGGCGAGGGGGCGGCGGCGGCGGCGCCGGCTCGGCCCGGACGCGTAGTGAGCGCAGCGAGCGCAGCACGCCGCGTGGCAGCCCCCGCCGCGAGGAGGCGCCGGTGCTCTCGGAGGGCGACGCCGTCGGAGCGGAGGAGCGCGGCGCTTGCCGTGAGGTACGGCGCGAGCTGCGTTTTTTTCACGTTCGGGAGCCACCGGCGCCCTGTGGTGACCTGCGGGGTCGCGGCGGTGGTGGATCTGGCTCGGCAGGGATGGGTGGTTTAAAAAAAAAATTGGGATTGAAAATACATTTTTATTTTATTTTATTTGTTTGAAGCAGTGGGCAAGATTTTTTTTTAAATGCCATCCATCCAACAGGAGGTTGACACAGAGCTGCAAATTATTTTAATAAATATATTTGTCAGTGAATTAAAAAAGCCAAAGAATATATACAATAGTTTTTGATGTCGCCCTTATCCTCCAGATTTTGAGAAAGGCCCCACGTTTCAGTCTCAGTTATGCTTCGCTGCTGAAATTAATATTTCATAGCCGTGTATTTGCCACGTCACCGCCGCGTAGTGCCACGCGGCGCCGCGTGTGATGCTCCGTGTGCCCCCGTTGCCCGGCCAATGCCCTTTTAATTCTGCCCTAAGCTGGGTGCGTACCCAGCCACGGCACGACCCCGTTTCACGGCGTTGCCGCATTCTCGCGAATAGAACGGCACCTTCACCGGGGCTTCGGGACGAATGTGCAAGCCTGCAAAATGATGGTGACTGGGTGACAACGATGACGACGATGATGTTGATGATGATGTTGATGATGTTAATGATGTTGATGATTCGATTTAAAGCTTTCGTGACTGCAGGGATTCATCTTCTTGGTTCTTTCGGTAAAGTCACGTAGAAGGGAAATAATAAAATAATACAAATAAAACATCATAAAATACAATTCTAACGACGAAAGACAGCGTCTTTCCGACAGACCTGTTCTTCACCTAAGGACGACTGCTTGCGTTGTTGTGGAAACGTCGTGAGAATTGTATTTTATTATGTTTCATTTGTATTATTTTATTATTTCCCTTCTACATGACTTTACCGAAAGAACCAAGAAGATGTTGATGATGATAGAGAGGAACAATTCTAATAAAGGTGCCACCACACCGCCCAATCACCAGGCTCACGTAGAGACCCACAGACTCGGGTAGAGACCCGCAGACTCGCATAGCAAGTCACGAGTGTCTCATCTCATGGAGTGACTTGTCCTTGCCATAGCAATATGGAAATTCCACCACCTGTCTCAGGCACACCACCACGGATGAGCACCACCCAGAGTTTGTTAGCGTAGGGAGAGGCCTTCAGCGGCCGCCCTCTCCCGTTCGCTGCAGTCACACGCGGCTACCGCTTACGCGTCTCTCTCCCGCGCGCCGTACAGGACGTTGGCCAGCAGCTGGAGCGGATGACGCGGCAGCGGGAGGAGAGCGGGGCGGCCACGCGGACCGGGGACCTCGAGCGGAGCCTGGCGAGCGCCGTCGCCGTGCCAAGCCTCCGCGAGCGCCTCCTGGAGGTGCCGCCACTCCCCCGCTCCCGCACCCGTGTGCCGCTCGATGCGCCCGTTCACGGTTTTGATTTGCGTGCGGCTCCGCGGCGCGCGGCGGCGCGCGCGGAGATCGCGACCGTGCCACGCAGCGACGGCCACCCCCCCTTCACCCACATTCCACAGTGTCCCCAGTTCGATTCCATCTCCCGGGCGCGGCGGTTGAAACAACGGTGCCGGTTCCTTAAATCCGCTCGGCAGTAGAAATGTTTACGCCGCGGTGAGTCGGTCGGCAGGTCGCGTGCGGTGGTGTAGAGTGTGGGTACCCCCGCCGGAGGTTCTTCCTGCGCCGGTGGCGGCCGCTTTGTCGTGCACGGCGGTGACGGTGAGCGGGGCCCGCAGGACTGCGCGAGGATGGCGGAGGAGAGAGCGGCGGGCGACGAGGACTCGGGCCACCTCGTCACGCGACTCAAGGACAGGATGTCGGAAGGACGCTCCGCTCCCGTGGTGAGTCTTCAACCCCTGTGACTGGCCGCCTGCCGCCGTCCCTTTGCAAACCGCACGCAAACCCAGCGGTGACACGGGGGGTGCGACGGGGGGGGGGGGGGGGGGGGGGAGGATACCTTCATCGGACAACAGTCTGGGCAAAGGCCACTGTTCCCTGCTGTGATCTCCCTCCTATGATGTCTCTGCTATAATCTCCCTCCTATGATGTCTCTGCCTATATCATATTTATACCTCTTTCTCCCGACGCTCTGGACGAATGTCCCACCGCCGTCGAGCGATCGTGAGCGCCAGCGATGGGCTTGAGGAGGCCTACATCCAGCAGTTGATAGATAATGGCTGTCGATGAAGATTAATTACGAGTTTGGCACGGCCGGCTGCGACTGTCATCAGACGCGCAATTAGAGCCGTGGGAGAGTTTTCAGCCACTTGGTGCTGAGTCAGCGGTGGTTTTCCCCAAGAATAGGACAGACTCGTCCCCGCCACGGGAACGTGGAGTTCCACCATTGGCTCACTGCCAGACGGGGGCGAGTGCCGGCTTGTCTTGGTGGAAGGTTAAGGGCGCAGCCCCTGCAATTGCTCGCTCGCGCTACTGCCGGCCGACGGGTCTCCGCTAGAGGGTGCGTTGGCCTACTCTTCCGCGCCGGCCGGGTGTCGTGTAAGAGTACCCACACTTTACACCACCACCACCACGACGACCGCCGCACTCGTGCTGCCGATCGTAGACTCGCCGTGGTGAGGCCATCGGCACTGCCGGGTTGGACGGGGGCCTTACCTACATTTGAACCGTTGCCGTGTTTCAGACCTCCGAGGCACGCGATAGTCCGTCGGATCGTCCTCGCGCGCGCGGGACAGACGGACGGGATGAGAGGGCTGGGAGGGAGGAGAGGGCTGGGAGGGAGGAGAGGGACGGGAGGGAGGAGAGGGCCGGGAGGGAGGAGAGGGACGGGAGGGAAGAGAAGGAGCTGCTGTGTCTGAGGGAGGCTCTGGAAGAGAAGGACTCGGACATCCGCCGGCTTTGCAGCGTCCTCTCCAGCAACGAGTCCACCATCGCGGTGAGCGACGCTCTCCCTGACCGCGCTCGTTACGACGATGACAGCAGTGAGTGTTTGTATTACGGTCTCATAATAACAACAGCGATAACAACAGTGAGTGTTTGTGTCATGGTCTCATCACAACAACAACAGTGAGTGTTTGTATCATGGTCTCATCACAACAACAACAACAACAATGAGTGTTTTTATCATGGTCTCATCACAACAACAACAACAGTGAGTGTTTGTATCAGTCTCATCATAACAACAATAACAATATGCAAAGACACCGCACGGCGCTGCACAATCCCCACACGCTGAGGCGTGTGTGTTGGCAGACTGAGATTCTTTCAGCCAATTAGCAACGAGCGTTTACGCACGTGGGGGGGGGGGGGGGGGGGGGGGGAAACCGGAGGACCCGGAGTAAAACCCACGAGTGCGACGGGGAAATACTCAGTGCCACGCACTGACGGGATGGATACAGATCAGTCGGCGCTTGCCGTGACGCCTTCTGTCGACACGGCACCCTTCTCAACCAACACACGCGTGTCACACGTGTCACGTGTGTGTCGGCGATGCTCTCGGTCCACTCCGACGCACGTCCTCACCGTGGCGCTCTGCCGAACGACGATGCGGCACGACCGGGAATCTCACCGGAGCGCCGTGCGGCACGACCGCGGCAGCTTTGCGTTTACCGAGCGGCGGCGGTGGGCGGCACCGCGTGCCACGGTGCGCCACGCGCCAGAGGTCGCAAACGGGTTTTGATTGCTTACCCGTACCCGTACCCGGCTGCACCAGGGTCGAAAACGGGTACCCATACCCGTACCCTACCCGATACCCAGCTACCCGTACCCAGCCGGGTATCGGGTAGGGTACGGGTATCGGGTACCCGATTGCGACCTCTGGGATGAAGCCATGTTGCAGGCGCGGGTGGGTTGATTCTAGGACCTTGAATTGTGAGAAGAGACAAGACGTTGGGAAATGAGTGACAAACGGTTACTCACCAGTGACTCATGGCCTACCCGTGCCCGTACCCGGCCGGGTACGGGTAGCCGGGTATCGGGTACCTGGTTGCGACCTCTGCCACGTGCGTCACGGTGCCCCCCGTTGTCATACGCAGAGCCTGGACACGGTGCTCAAGCAGAAGGACGAGGAGCTGAAGCGATCGAGCGACGCGTTCCTGGAGATGATCGACGGCTTGCGGAGCAGCCACGCGCACGCCGCCCGGCAGAAGGACGCCCTCATCGCGGAGATGGAGCAGGCGCTGCGGAGGAAGCTCCGCGACACGGAGGTGCGGAAGGCCTCCATCCCCTCCCTCTCTGAGATTGTTTACCGTGGCGCGCAACGACCGCAGTAAGAGTGCCGCTGCGCGCGCCGTGGACGTTAGAGAACCCGTGACGTCGTTCGCAAAGAGTAGGCCGCAGCGTGCCGCCGGCGTCGGGGTTGGTCTGCGTTTAAAAAAAAAAAAATCACGCCGACACATTCCACGTTCGTCCAGGAGCTGCTCAGGAGCAGGTCGAGCGGCGGGGACGAGGCGTTGGCGGAGGCGACGGAGCGCTGCGTGGAGCAGCAGCGGCAGCTGCAGCAGGCCCTCGTCGACAGAACCCGGGAGCTCTCCGAGCACCAGCAGGAGGTGGAGAGGACGCTCCGGCTGGTCGTGGACAAGGAGCGCCTGCTCAAGGTGCGACGCCGCCGCGACCCCCGCGACCCCCGTGACCCCCGCGACCCCCACGACCCCCGCGACCCCCGCGACCCCCGTGACCCCCGCGCCGCTTCCGCTGCGCCGTTGACGCGGGGCGGCCGCTACCGTCGGCGGGAGCCGCCGCGCGTTCCGCGACGTTGACCCCCCCCCGTGGCCGTCGCCGTGCCGATCTCTCCACAGGAGAAGACGGAAGCCTCCTCGACGGCGGAGGGCGAGCTGAGGGCTGAGATCGAGCGGCTCAAGCGCAGCGCGGTCCAATCTCCGCGCGGAGCAGGGGCGGGCGACGCTGTCGGGCGGTGCCCGGAGACACAGAGGCCCCAGTGAGTCCCCACTTGTCACCCGTGTCACCCGCCCCACGCCTGCCACCCACGCCACCCGTGCCACCTGTGCCGCCACTGAGCGCTACACTCTGGAATCCCCTTGAGTTCTCGTCATCACTGTGAGCGGCAGCAGCCATGAGCTCTCCACCGATGATGCTGATATTGCTGCTCATGATGCCGATGATGGTAAGGGTGCTGCTGTTGCTGCTGATCATGATGGCGCTAATGATATGGGTTTCGCAGCTGCTGCTGCTGCTCATGGCAATGATGAGGATAATGCGAAGCGAATGATAATGATGATGCTGCTGCTCGTGATGCTGACGATGACAATGATCTCACTCGTCATGATGAGGATGCTATTCACGATAAAGACACTGTTGCTAACGACGACGAGGATGTCACAGCGGCTTCCCGTGATAATGATGATGACACTGATGACGAAGCTGCCACTAACGATGATGCACGTGGTAAATTCGGCAGGAGAGGCCTCACCAAGGAGGCCGGGATGGAGGCGGTGTCGACACGAAGCTCGTAGCTGAGAACGTGGCGCTGAAGGCCCAGCTCGCCCAGAAGGAGAAGCTCCTCCAGGTGAGAGCCGTCTCGGTCCATTTGGGCTGTACGGGCCATATCTGGCTGTATCTGGCTGTCTCTGACCGTCTCTGGCTGTACGGGCCATATCTGGCCGTCTCTGGCTGTCTCTGGCTGTCTCTGGCTGTCTCTGGCTGTCTCGGGCCGTCTCTGGCTGTCTCTGGCTGTCTCGGGCCGTCTTGGTCCGTCTTGGTCCGTCTCCCATCGTAACGTTTAGTTCAGCGCTGCGACGACTCACTGTGGGCAGCAGAACATAGTGGCAGTGCTGCAAAATGTATCGTTATTATTACGATTCCGTGTGTTTACCAAGGGAGGCTTCACTGAGTCTCAAGACTCTATTTCAGGAGGGTCCTGCCCAGTTTTCGCTTGGGAGGGTGACGCTGCTGCTGCTGCTGTTGTTGTGTGCGATCCCAATTGAGTAATTTGCAGGGTGATTTCTTCAGCATTGGGATGTTGTTTGGGCCAATAACAGTGACATTGTGTGGTTTGTTTCGTGATGGGAGGAAGCCAGAGAACCGGGAGGAAACCCACGCAGAAGAGGGGGGGAGAACGAACCAACTCCACACAGAAAGGCAGGCGCCCGAGTCAGAGATCGAACCCGGGCCGTTGTTGACGTGAGGCACGAGCAGTACCGCCGCGTTGGCGCCCAGCGACCCGCCGCAGTTGCCAGAACGCTCCCCGTGACGGCAGCAGGGCGACCGAACTGCCGGGGGTCGCAACTGTTAGAGCAGCACACGCAAAGCGGAAACATCGCCAAACGAGCGGCGACGCCGTCGAAGTAACGGCGCCGCGTCCGACGCCCCCAAACCACCACCCCGCCGTTTTGTTGTCGGCATTGAGGCACCGATCGCTCGCACGGACGGCAACGCCCAGTCGCAGCGACGTTCTGACACTCGAGGGATGCACCCCAGGAGTTGGGTGAGGAATGGGCTCCGGCATTCGTACCAAACCGAGGCCCGGCGTCGTTTAGCTTGGAGCACTCCAAGCTAGACGACCCTGCGCGCTGCACGATTTCCTCATTCCGCCCAACCCAATGGCCGTGTCCTCTCGGGCGCATTAGGGGACGGGTCGATGGCGCGCGGAGGGCATTCATCCAGCGATGGCTTGACAACGGCTGACGGTGATCGAGTGAGTTGGTGCAGTGTCCCGGGTGCTGCATTGACACTTTGAAGCTTGTGAATCACAAGGCCTGGTGTTGGGGATTCACTTAGCCCACCATCTTTTAATTAACACGACTTTGTGGCGAGTCAACAGCGATAATCCTACGCCCGTCAGTGGAAGTGCGCAGTGTAGATTTGGGTCATCTGGGGTTTACAGGTGAGGGACGTGGGGAGGTGAGGGGTGGGGGGAGGTGAGGGGCGGGGGGAGGTGAGGGGCGTGATGAGGGGCGTATTGAGGTGTGGGACGTGGGGAAGTGAGGGGTGGGGGGAGGTGAGGGGTGGGGGGAGGTGAGGGGCGTGGTGAGGTGAGGGGTGGGGGGAGGTGAGGAGCCTGGGGAGGTGAGGGGTGTGGTGAGGGGCATATTGAGGTGAGGGACGTGGGGAAGTGAGGGGTAGGGGGAGGTGAGGGGCTTTGGGAGCTATAAATCTTTTTTTTTCACAAAGATGTCCACCCGGGGCGGGTAAGAACGCTACAACAGCGAACGGTACAAAACCACGATAGGAGTGCAAAGTACAAGGGTGACACCGGTGAAGGGTGACACCGGTGCACGAGGCCTACTCTTTTTCCGAACGACGTCACGGGATCTGTAGTGGCACCCACAGTGAAACGGACGTTGTGGTGCGTGTGTGTGTATATAGTTTCTGTGTTTTTTGTCGCTATGCCCCCCGCGGCATTAGGCAGGGGGCGTCCGCCGGCTCGAGCCGTCAACCTCCGCGAGAAGCGGCGAGCGAGCGCTCGGCCTTCCGTGACGAGGCCATCGGTGCACAAACCACGCAGAGCTTCTCGCGCCGTGCGGCGTCGTGTGCCTCGCGTGTCACGTGCCGGATGTCGTGTGTCGTGAGTTGCGTGTCGTGTCTCGCATGTCGTGTCACGTGTTTCGCGTCTCATGTGTCGCTTGTTGTGTGTCTCGCGTGTCGCGTGTCGTGTGTCACGTGCGTTGAGTGGCATATCTCGTGTCTCACGTCTCGTGTCGTGTATCATGTGTTGAGTGTTGTGTCTCGCATGTTGTGTCACGTGTTTCCGCATCTCGCGTCTCATGTGTCGTGTGCTCGGGGCAGGAGCTCATGGGAGAGGGCAGCAGGAACGGAGGCCACGGCCGCTACGACTACGACAATGACGACGCTCACCACCACCTCCTCCTCCTCGACGACGACATAGACGACGATGAGGGGGATGACGGTGAGACGCACGGCGTGCCGGGCCGCCCGCGTGGCGAGTTCACGTTGGGAGCTGCAGATTTTCCGCGCGGGGTAAATAATAAAAACGCTCTGCCCTCTTACTTCTGGAAGCGAGGGGAAGCGTGGCTCTCCGGAGTCCGGCTGGGTTCTGTGATGAACAAACTGTCGCCAAGGAAAAACACTTTGGGCCGATGTGAGCACGTGAGCAGTCGGCGATTTGACTGCTTGAAAGAGTTTCCCGGAAATGTTTTAAATAAAAAGATGTGTTCAGGTTTTCTCGCGCGTGTGCCGGGCTCTACCGGCGATGTGCATCGCGACGATGGATCGCGCGTTGACGCGTGTGTGTCCGCGTACCTGGTGCGGTGTGTAACACAACGCCACGGGGGAGACAAAGGCGGCCGGGCACGGTGCTGGGCCACCCACCTCCTTCGTGTGCCGTGCCGGGCCCTCACCTCCCCAGGCCCCTCACCTCCCCACGCCCATCACCTCACCCCACCCCTCACCTCCCTCACCTCCCCATGTCCCTCACCTCCCCACGCCCCTCACCTCCCCACGCCCCTCACCTCCCCACGCCCATCACCTCACCCCGCCCCTCACCTCCCAAAGGCCCTCACCTCCCCCCACCCCTCACCTCCCTCACCTCCCCATGTCCCTCACCTCCCCACGCCCCTCACCTCCCCACGCCCCTCACCTCCCTCACCTCCCCATGTCCCTCACCTCCCCACGCCCCTCACCTCACCACGCCCCTCACCTCCCTCACCTCCCTCACCTCCCCATGTCCCTCACCTCCCCACGCCCCTCACCTCCCCACGCCCCTCACCTCCCCACGCCCCTCACCTCCCCACGCCCCTCACCTCCCCACGCCCCTCACCTCCCCACGCCCCTCACCTCCCCACGCCCCTCACCTCCCCACGCCCCTCACCTCTCCACGCTCGCCCCAAACAGTCTGTTGAGGTATATTCATATTCTCAGGTTTTTCGGTAAAGTCACGTGACTTTACCGAAAAACCTGAGAATATGAATCCTTGCAGTCACGAAAGCTTCAAATCTAGAATAGTCTGTTGAGGCTTACACGATGCCGTTGCGTGCCCCCCCCCTCCCGGTCAAGATTTGCTGCCGGAGTTCCCTCGGTTTGCCACTCGCTCCCCTCCACTGGGGTCCGTCCCTGGAGAGCGAAGCGACGGGGACACGAGTCGCCCACCCGCGGCGGCCTTCAGCAACGGTCTCGAGGCCAAGGTACCGCTGGCTACCGACACCAAACATAAAACATCTTATTTGATTTTACCAGGTGCAAGGCTACCGACACCAAACATAAAACATCTTATTTTATTTTACCAGGTGCAAGGCCCCGCTTGAGCTATCTCTGGCTCTTTTTTTTTAAGAAAGCGACCTGGGCTGCCACAAATGATAGCTCGAAAACCAAGTGGCGGCTTGCCATCGCGTCAAAATGGCGGCCGAGTAGTGGAATTAATGGAAACGCGTGACGTTGATTCTAAATGTGGAGGGAAAACACGGAGGGCCCGGGAGAAAAATCCACGCGACCACGGGGAGACAGAGAGAGAGAGAGACACGCAGACTCCAAATATACAGGCATCGTCAGGGTCGGGAACGAACCCACGACCTCCTGGTAGCCAACACGTCGTCACCGTGGTAACAACTAGCGGGGGCCACCCGTCACCGAGGTGCGGCGACGATCGCACCGTTACCCACCTGGTGTCGCCGTGTTGCAGCTTCACGCTTTGAGAAGTCCCAGTCGCCTTGCGGCGTCGCCAGAGGACAAAACGGACGTCGCGGTCGGTCTCCGCTCTTCTAAAGTGCTCGCTTGACAGCGCTTGGCCCTGAACGTCTAATTAAGGCCACACGGGGGATCTTTGTTTTGTCCGCGTGTCGTTTAGAAGGCCGCGGGCTCGGACGGTGATGGCGGACGGCAGCAGTCGCCCCCCACGGCCGTGTCCACTTCTGCCAGGTGAGTTCAGAAGTCGGCGCACAGCGATAGAGTCGTGGACTGAGAGTGGCTGGAATTGATTATTACTATTATTACTATACTACAACGTGTTACATCTTTATTGGTTCTTTCGGTAAAGTCACGTGGAATATTTCCCTTCTACGTGACTTTACCGAAAGAACCAAGAATATGAATCCCTGCAGTCACGAAAGCTTTAAATCGAAATCGTTGTGTGAGGGGCATTCCTCGGGGTTGCCCTGCGACGCACCGCATGCCCGGCCGCGCCGTCACCTCTCTCGCTCCCCCGCAGCGCTGCGGCCTTGACCAAGCAGCCCAAGCAGCCCGCTAAGCAGAGGCCCTCCAAGGCCGCCAAGCCGGGGCCCCCCCAGCCCCCGAGGCAGGGCCCCACCAAGAAGAGGGCGGCGATGGCGGCGGGCGGCGGAGCCTCGAGCCACAACGGCAAGAAGGCCGCCACGCCGCGCCAGGACGAGTGAAGGCCGCCGCGGCCGTGGGCGCGGCCGCCGTCCGTAGGTGGAAGCCCTCCTCGTCCTCGTCGTTGTCGTCGGCGCCATCATCGGCCGTGGTCTATCCACTGCCGGATGTGAAGGCCTCCCGAAAACCGTCTCTCTCGATGCCACGATGCGATGGCCCCACCTTGCTCCTGATCTCATCCCTCTCTGTTCTTGAAGTCGCAAAGTAAAAATGAGTCGGGGTCCAATTCGTCACCGGCCAGGTTCTGTCCACTGCTGGATGAAGGCGCCTCTCCAGGCCGGCGCCATCCGTCGCGATGCTGCGATGCGACGCCCCCAACCGGACACCCGCGCACGAGCCGGTTTCATCGCTCCATCTCTTCGGAGGAACGTCATCTACGGACACGCTCCATTCCTTCCACCGCGCTGCGTTTTTAACGTCTTCCATGTTACGGGAGCGCCGAAATAACCTGCGGGCGCTCGCCTCGCACTGCCTGCCGAAGACTTGACACGCACGCACACACACACACGCACACACTCGCACACGCACGCACACACGCACACACTCGGGAGATCAACAGAACGACACGGAGCAAGTTTTGCACATTTAGAATGATGCTTCAGGGGGGCAATAATTTCCCTTTGTACTCTCCCTTCGCTGCGAACCTCATCGACGGAACTTGGAAACTGCCGCGGTGCAGAGCGCCGAGTGGGCTTCGTCGGGGTTTGCTGGCAGGAACGCTCTCGTTCTCCTCTCCTTCTGCTGTAAAACAGAATCCCCAAATCACCCTGTGGACTCGCTCGACCTCGGCGGCGCGGGTGTCGCGGGTGGCGTGGGTTGTCGCGGGTGGCGTGGGTTGTCGCGGGTGGCGCGGGTTGTCGCGGGTTGCATGGGTGGTGTGGGTGGAACGGGTGACATGGATGGAATGGGTGGCGTGGGTGGAATAGGCCCTTGCGGCAAGTGCGTGCCGTGTCCGTGCCGCGCTGCTTTTAGAGGTCCCCTTGCTGACGTGCTCACTGCCTCTCGTGCATCCCTCTCGATGGCGCGTGCTAGGTCTCCGCGGGTTCCAGTCCGACCCGACGGGGTCGGAGGGGGTCTCTGAGCGCTTTAGGTGACAGCATTTCAAGGCGTTCCATAGGGCACCCCCAGTGGCAGCAGCAGCAGCAGCTGTCCCTGCGTGGTACCAGGTGACTCGGCACGTGGCCTGCGAGCGGGCGCCAGTCGGCTGCCAGTAGGGGGCGATGACAGCCGCTGTGCGATCCCAATTGAGCGCTGGTGTCGCGGTTCGAGCGCGGCGCTCCGAGCCCGGCGAGCCGAGTTCGATTCCCGCCCACGGCCCACCAACGCCAGCGACCCCTATTTATCTGAACCGGTCCTGAGCCTCCCCTAGGTCGACTCGGCCTCAAACGGAGTACCTCGTACGTTGCGTAAACGTTGGCCGGCGGGCGTGGTGCTGGCCACCCGCCCCCTCGTGCGCCGTGCCGGCCTTCGTAGGTGCTGCCACTCTCTCTCGGCACTTGCCCCAACAGTCTGTTACAGCCTATACAGGGTGGGGCGGGGGGAGATCTTTGTCTTCGGTCGCGATTGACGTGGGTTGAACGGCGATTTTGCAGGTCTCGTCTCGAGGCAGAGGTCGCAACCGGGTACCCGATACCCGTACCCTACCCGATACCCGGCTACCCGTACCCGGCCGGGTACGGGTACCCGTTTGCGACCCTGGTGCGGCCGGGTACGGGTACGGGTAGGCCGTGAGTCACTGGTGAGTAACCGTTTGTCACTCATTTCCCAACGTCTTGTCTCTTCTCACAATTCAAGTTCCTAGAATCAACCCACCCGTGCTTGCAACATGGCTTCATCCCAGAGGTCGCAATCAGGTACCCGATACCCGTACCCTACCCGTACCTGGCCGGGTATGGGTAGGGTACGGGTACGGCCGGGTACGGGCACCCGTTTGCGACCCTGGTGTGGCCGGGTACGGGTAAGGAATCAAAACCCGTTTGCAACCTCTGTCTCGAGGCGCCTGAGACGCCGTGTCCCCCCACCTCCCCGAGCGTTTCCTCGTCGTGTGGTTGGGAGTGCAAGCCTGGTCGTGAAGCCACGGCGCAAGTGACTGAAATCCTCCTCGCCCTCCCTCCCTGCCCACTGCCACCGCCCCGCCTCCATCCACCCAGCAGTATAAATGGGTGAGGACGCAGCCAAGATGACGGGTGGGGTAAAGTGTGGCTAGTCACACGTCGTCTCCCAAGGACGCGCGGCCAGTGTGGAAGATTGTGTCCAAACAACAAAAATGCCTCCTTTCCGTAAGCGCGGATCCAGCAGCGGCGACGCGGGCGAGCACTTGCGGGGCTGCGCTTTACCTCTCGCGCGTCCGCACGAGTTCTGCACTGGGACACGCGGACTCGGCGTCGCTCTCTCTCTCTGTGTCCACGTAGAAGACGTCGCCTGCCGAACGCCAACAGGGCACTGCGTGTTGTGTTTTTTCTTTCCGTCAACGGTTTTTTGCAAAAATTTGGTCGACTTGCACCTTCATCCTGACACTACCACCGATGGATGGCTGTGGCGTGGCATGGCAAGTTGACAACAACTCT